TAAAAAAGAAACAAAGGTGGCCAGCCATGGTAGCTATATTCCCAGCACTTTGGGAGGCTGGATTGGGAGGATTGCTTGAAGCCAGGAGTTCAAGACTGGTCTGGGCAACATAGCAAGATCCTATCCCTAAAAAAATGTTTTAAAAGTGGCCAGGTGTGGTGACATGCTTCTGTTATCTAGAGGCTGAGGCAGGAGATGAACTGGAGCCCAGGAGTTAGAGGTTACAGTGAGCTCTGATCATGCCACTGTTACTCTAGCCTGGGCAACAGGGCAAGATCCTATCTCTAAAAGAGGAAACAAAGGTTTTGAGGGAACATCATTCAGGGCGTGCCCTGTGCCCTGATGCTGGCCCATGAGCTTTTTTGTCTTCCTTATTGTGATAAGAGTAAGTGTTCAGAAACTTTGAGGGCAATTTGATAATTTCACGCTGATTAACTTTAATAATAAAGTAATTGTACTAATTTGCAGTCCCACCGACAGACAGTGTGTAAGCATTCCTTTCTCTCTGCATCTGCACCAACATCAATTGGTTTTGGACTTTTTAATAAAAGCCATTCTAACAGGGGTAAGGTGATATGTCATTGTGGTTTTAAATTGCATTTCTCTGATGATTGGTGACATTGATCTTTTTTTTATGTATTTCTTGGCTATTGTCTATCTTCTTTTAAAAAGTTTCTGTTCATGCTTTTGCCTACTCTTTAATGGGGATGGGTTTTTTCTTGTAGATTTACTTGAGTACTTTGTAGAAAATGGTTATTAGCTCTTTACCGGATGTATAGCTTATGAATATTTTCTCCCATTCTGTAGGTTGCCTGTTTGTTCTTTAGACTATTTCCATAGCTATGCAGAAGTTTTTTGCTTTAATCAAGTCCCATTAATTTATTTTTGTTGTTGCTGTGATTGCCATTGTGGTCTTTTCATAAATTCTTTGCCTATGCCTATGTTTAGAAGAATTTTCCCTACATTTTCTTCTACAGTTCTTATGGCTTCATGCCTTACATTTAAGTCTTTTTCTATCTTGAATTAATTTTTGTAAGTGGTGAGAGAGATAGGTCCTGTTTCATTTTTCTGTAGGTGGCTATCCAATTTTCCCAGCACCATTTGTTGAAAAGAGTTTCTTTTCCCCAGTGTATGTGGTTGTTTATTTTTTCAAAGAATAGTTGGCTGTTTGAAGATAGTTGTATATTAGGTTCTCTGTTCTTCTCCATTGCTTTATGTCTCTATAAAATAATTTTATTCATAATTTGTGTCTGTATTTTTTATTGTTTTTCACAAAAGTATTGACTCATGATGGACTTGAAATAACAATAATCTTTTAAAAACTGTTCCTTCCCCACAGATACTTTGAAAAGCACTATTGAAGAATTTTTTCTGGATTCAAAAGTGTTCAACTTTCCTTCCCACATTGTAGTTTCTTTTTTACCGTGTAAATTTCTGTGAAAGCAAACTCCTCAATATTAATTTTTAGCCAATGTGATTCAGGAAAATACAGACTTCTTTGATTTAAAATATCATTAATTCCCTGAATAGCCACATATTGCTGCTTTGTAAAACCCAAGTTAAAGAACTTTCAAAGTTAAATTTTTCGAAAAAGAAATGTAAATTTTAAAAAGAAATTTGTCCTTTTTTAAACCAAAGCTTTATTTTTGCCAAAATGTTAAATATATTAAGCCCATTGGGCAGACTAAAACTTTAGAGTTAAAAAAATGTAAATAACTAAGGAGAATTAACATTTATGTCAGGATGCTTGGCTGAGACCATCCACCGAGTAAGCCTGATATAAAATGGCCTAGTTTTATAGAGAATTCATAAGCCCTAAAGTCAGCCAGGCTGATAGTCATCACCCATCATCTTGCCTATAAACTAAAGCTGCCTATGAAATTAAATGGTTAGTCAAGATGACCCTTAAGGCCTTCCCCATTTCTAATATTTTATATGTCTGTGAATTTGACTCCATAATCATTTTCAACTATTTTATTTTCATTTTTAAAAAGTTAATCTTTGGAAATTAAGTAAAAACTTCTCCTTTGCATGCTAAGTATTTCTCAATAGAGTCCTTTCTTGTCAGACAGATGAAAACTATTCAATACATTGAACAAACATGTAGGAAAATAAAAGTGCAGATAAAAAGTCGGCAAAGTTGAAACATTTTATAAAAATAGAGAAATAAAAATCATGGCTCTTCTGGGTGCCCTTGAGCTGTGAAATAGGGTATTAGTATAAAGCCAATGTAAAATTGGCATTCACGTAACAATTGCCTGAAGGTCACAGGAAAAGGGAGCTGTTAGAGACCCTCCCCAACTTCTTTTCCCCTGAATTCACATAACATTTGATGCCAAGCAGGAATTTATCCAAGTACACAGGACAAAGGTGTTCAAGTATTGTCAGTGTATATTATATTATATTATATTATTTTGCTGTGAATGTATGAAAAGGATATTACTATACCATTTTTCATAGTAGTCCTTCGAGATGGTCATCTCCAACCTTTTGGATCATATATCTGCAAAAAATTTTTTCACTTGTGTCCTTTAAGTATGGATCTAATTTATTTATACATTGTATTAGTATATATATGTGAACTAGTTAATATTTCAAGGCATAATATACTTAGGGTGAAGCTTTTCTTTTCTAGTTTTACATAACCATGTAGGTAATTGTCTAATTGTCTTCTGATGACTTTCCTCTGTTTTGCCTAACTTCTTGTCAGATCTGATTAAATTTGTGGGGCTTTTAGCTTGCGATGTCAGTAATAGAAAACTCTCGGCTGAACTGGTTAGAAGCTTCAGCTCTGTGACTTCCACAGTGTTTATGCTTGCGTTGCTATTACTGTTATCTTTAATCTGTGGGTACCTTGCATGAATCTTATCTCTTTTAGGGTTCTTTTAGTTCAAAGGTACCTTTTAGAGTTTGTATGTTGACTTAGTAGCCCCATCCCTGTATGGGGAGGGCAAGCCTTACTGAGTGAGGTGAGATCTTTTGTCCCACTGACTAAGGGCACAGGGCCAACCCAGAAGGTAAATACTCGCTAAAATGCCATCTTTTCTAACGAAAATAAATAAGAAGGGAAGTTCCAACATTTTCCCCTCATGTTGCACTTTATTTCTGCGTGTACATCAATCATAACTACTGTGCTACGGTCTGTTATTTCACTTCCAGGAAACCCAGGCAGCAGCATCCTTTCTGACTCACGCGTGCAAGTTTCAGCTTGCTCGGCTTATCAGTGTTGCTGGGAGGGCTTCATTGGTTTCTGTCCACATGGATTTTACATTTCTTCATTTTTGTGTGTCTCGAAACTTTCATACCCATCCATGTACATAAGCTTCACAGTTTATGAAACCAAAATTGGTAAAAAAAATTATTTTTATTCCAATTTTAATCTTTCATTGTGATGTATATCATCATTTAGCTTTAATTTTGTTTATGTTGTTCTCTCAACTTGTTTTTGGGCTGGAACTCAGCTGATGTTTCTTTCAGTCTTCCACAGCTCTGGCCGTGTTTGCACATAGCAGGCAAGCACTGAAAATGCGAGCACACGTTTCACTGGGAAACGAGCTCAAGGAGTATCCAGCAGTGCTGCATTGTCAGGCTCTCTCACATAGTTTTTTTTACCTTTTGGTAATCTTAACAAATTGTTTGCTTGGAACCTATCAGTTGATTGCCTATTATTTACATCACTTATATAGACCATCCTTCTATCATCACAGGATTTATTTAAACTATATTATATAATTTGCACAATTAATCTCTTTTTGCTCTCATTCTACTTACTCTCTAAGTTAGCCATTCATCTCAATATGTTGCTACTACTGATTCATGGAATATTCTTTTTATCCCCTCATTTATGTCACTAAAGTGTCGATTTTGCTGAGTTCAAATCATCTACTATCTGGAGAGCTTTTCTATACCTGTATGATGAAGTAGATTGGACAGTGTGGCCCTGTGGGGACTGGGGTGGGCAAGGGTAAGTTCTTGGTTCATCAAGAGTGGCGGAGTGTGGTCCTGATGCCTTTCACTGGTCCACTAATGCCATGTTGACAAGATTCCCATAAAGGAGCCCCATTAACTGGTCCCATGTCTTTAGAAGTCTCTAGAAGTAAAGAGAAGCACCAGACATCCATTCCCTCCTTGAGAGGAGCTGTATCAGTCACTTGACTGAGGGGGAAAGTGTCTTCAGTCCCTGAGCTGAAGAGTCTCTGGGGGGACTTTGTAAGAATGCCGAGGCCCATTAAAATTTCTGGGGTAAGAGCAGGCATCTGTGTTTTTAAGAGTTTCCTAGGAGATGCCATGGCACAGCCAGGGTTGAGAGTTACTGATCAAGAAGCTAGTGAGCTGATCACATTGGCAGAAGGAAATAAACAGTGGGAGGCTTAAACAAGGCGAAGGCGCTCAACAGTGGCAAGAAAAGTCACCAGTTATAACATGGAAAGGTGGGGACAAGATGGAAAAAGCGCTTAGCTTCAAAAATGCTCAGCTTCTGTAACTGAGATCCTACTTCCCTTGGCCATTACTGATCACACAAGCCTAAGAGATGTTGGCAGAGAGAACCAAATATTTATAAATTGGTCCAAGAATTATGAAGGGCTTTGAGGCCTTTTAGATTTGGAAGTCTGGAAGCTTATTGACAAACACCTTCAACTTTACATGATTTTTTAGGGTCTATGGGTATTTTACCCTGGTATGCACACTTACACACAGATGCTCTTGTTTCGCCTGAGAATGCTTGACACCTTGTAAGAAAACATGTATTTTCTGTATTTGATTTTAAAGATGTGTCAGGGCTCTTGGCTTGGTACAGAAAGGTAAAGTAACTCTGTCTTAACCTGTGCCATTCATTTGGTCTTCATCACATATTACCTAGCTTGTCTTAAGCCAGCCTGCGAAAGCAGGGAATTTTTCTTTTCTCTCCATAATTCCAGGGGTTGGTGAAGCATTTTATACCCAGTAAGTACTGATAGAACATCTGCCAGTAACCTCTGCAAACTCTGCCTTTGTTGTAGGAAGCAGTACAAGTACTGATTAAGCACTCAGCTGATGTCAATGCAAGGGACAAGAACTGGCAGACCCCCCTCCATGTGGCAGCAGCCAACAAAGCTGTCAAATGTGCAGAAGTGATCATTCCCTTGCTGAGCAGTGTCAATGTCTCTGACCGAGGGGGACGCACAGCCTTGCACCATGCAGCTCTGAATGGCCACGTGGAGGTGAGTGCTCTCATCACTGGGAATTGGTATATCCTCTACAGGCCCTCTCAGCTGCAAGTGGAACCTAATCCCATTGCTGAGACTTTTAGAGAATGTGATGATAATATTTGTGCACTAAACCTTCAGCAACTATATTCATCCTTAAATTTAGAGCCACATGCATTCAAAAAGTAGGCTGACACTCAGTCTTTTCTCATGTTGCACATGCCACAGGGTCTGCTGTGACACCATCTTTCTACTCTGTTAGAACGATAGATCTCTAACTTGCCTTTAGACTTGTTGTGAATTTGGCTCCCCTCCTTGCAGGCAGTGAGGAGCCCTCGCCATCACAGGGTGTATGTTTGATTCTGTTTTTGGTTATCTTTCAGATGGTCAATTTACTCTTGGCCAAAGGAGCAAACATTAATGCTTTTGACAAGAAGGACAGGCGTGCTCTGCACTGGGCAGCATATATGGGTAAGGAATTTATGCATGGAAAGCTCACAGAACCTTAACTAAATAAGCCGTGGGTCTCTCATTGACCATGTAGGTTTTCTCTTGAGGGACCATCACTTCTTTTTAAGCTTGGACACCTATTAAATGAAGATTCAGTTCATTTTACTGGCATGTATGGAGTGCTCTGGTAGGGCAGTTGCTTTGTGAGAGATTTATGTATCCTGCACAGGAAGAGGAGGAATGAATCATGGCCTGAATCTCTTTGAAGGTGCTTCAGTCTGGTTTGGAAATTTGCATACATTGTGCTTATTTTGTCATGGCAGCAAAATAAGGGGTTTTACAAAGAAAGAGGACGGGCTAGCAAAACAAGGACACAAATTCCATTTGTCTTTTTATTTATACATATTTTTGAAAATAGCAAAGGAAGGATGAAAAGACAAACACCTGGCTGTTTTGTAGGTGGAGGTGATCAGAGTCACTGTGGCTTATCCTGATACTCCACCGACAACCAAGCTGGGCCTCTCAGTCCTCATTTCTGCCTGCTCCCTCGGCGGGGGAGATGGAGGCAGAGGTTACATTTTTGTCTTTCCATTTCACTTTTGTTTTACAAATGCGATTGGCAGATGATAGACCTTACAGAGTTTATTCTCTGTAGTAGATGTGTGGGAAACGAAGAGCTGAGGTACCCCCTTTGTGTTTCTACTTGGAGAACATCCTGCAATTAGAAAAGACAGAATTCTGTCAGCACCAAGTAGTAAACAGTCCAATGTCCATCTACAGGGGATTGTTGAACTATGGAAGAGCTACAATGGGACACTCTGCAGTAACTACAGGGGTGATTTCCATGGGCATTTATTAACATAGAAAGACTCTGTGATATGTTAAGGGAAAGCAGATTATATGATCCTCATTTGCATAAAAAATTATATAATAAAAACCAATCTGGAAAATATAAACTGAACTAGCAATTGATTATCTTCAGTGACTGGTGACCATGGGTGATTGTGATTTCTTTTTGACAATGTTTTGCCTTTATGAATCCTTTAAAAAAGGTATACAGGCCTCTTATTGTCACTTTAAATTAAACCTTAATTGTAGGGAAAAAAAAAGAGTAGGTTGGGGTAGGGGATAAAATAAATTATGTGGCCAGAGATGGTTTTGGATAAATTCTTAGGCATAAAAAACAAGCCTCTTAAAACTTTACAAGGATTAGCATTTTTATCAGAAGGCAACATGGACTTTCAAGTTGGTTGAAGCAGATTAGACGTCTGCATGTTGCTCGCAGGGTTGTTTGCCAGGAGATAGATGTTGCTGCAGAACAGACACTAAGCTGGTGTGAGATGAGATGCAAAGGATCTGGGCTTTCAGGTTGGTTCTTTGCTGATGTATTTACAGTGATAATGCTTGGGTAAATGACTTTAGAGAAGTCAAGTCATTATTTTGTGTGTCATCAGGATATAAATAGGAACAAATATATAGATGACTCTTTTCAGCGGATAATAGGACAACACAAGGGCAAATAGTTTGAGACAGCACCACAGTAACTGAAAATAATTTTTCTATATACATGTCTTAGGGAGAAAAGAGTCAAATTTTAGTAGACAGGCCAATATCCCCTCACACATACTTATTTTAAGTCTTAGAGTCAGTCTTCTTCTTCTACTCTTCAATTATCAGTTGTGTTTAGATCAATGACCCTGAAGCATCGACAATCTTCAGTCACAGACTGAAGGTCAAATATGTTTACCAGACTATTTATAGCGAGTTATGGAAAAGATTGAATATTCTAGGAAAAAACATCAACAGGAGTTGAAACTGGAAGGGTTTTCTGTTTAGCCACTAATTCATAAGAATACTTTTAAGTTCAGCTGTGTGAAATTGCTATTTTTATGGGCCAAAAAATAATTCCACAGGAGCAATTACTTATGATTTAATAATAATCCAGGATCATTCTGATCAATTGATTTCTTTCCTTTCATCAGTTTTTCCACACCAAATTGTCATTGTTTGAATTTTCAATGAGGATTTGTCAATTGTTTTCAAAAGCATTCTTTCATTTTAACACATTTTTGTTAAGCTTTGGTACTAATATCTAAGCAGGATCTTGTCATTACTGATATGGTGACAGGGATCACTGAGATCTCCTTGATGAGAGGGCTCACATATGAATCATATTTTTTTCTTCCTACAGCATTTACATACTGTCTTATCCTTAGTAGATATTCAGTAAATATTTATTGAATATTTGCCATGAACTAGCTTTTTATAAATAGCTCAGCCAAGTACAGTGGCGATAAAAGCTAATAGTGATAATTTGGTGAAATGAATTGTCAAATTGTCCCATAAAGGTTAACAATGTTTTCTGCTGCTTTGTTTGTAAAGGCCACCTGGATGTTGTGGCATTGCTTATTAACCACGGAGCGGAAGTGACCTGTAAGGATAAGAAGGGTTACACCCCTCTGCATGCCGCAGCCTCCAATGGACAGATCAATGTTGTCAAACATCTCCTGAATCTGGGGGTAGAGGTGAGCTATGATGAATATATCACTGCATGGCCTGTATATTTGTGGGTTTTCTGTTGTTCTAAAATTAAATCATGTTTGCATTCAAAGGGGGGGGGAACCTTATTCCTAGCATCCTGTCTGTTTGTGTTTACACAGGCAACTAATGAAGGGCCGTGGGGGTGTAGAGTAAGTAGTGGGAAACCAGAAACACACTAATTTTCTGTATCAACATAGATCAATATATAGACACATATATTCTATGTGATATAGATTAAGCAGCCAGTTTTTAAAGCCTGACTAGGGTTCCTCATCTCACCATCACAACCTGGCCTTTCACATTCTGGCTTATAGCAGAAGTGAATGAATACATGGCAGGGACAAGTAGCAGTGGCATCTCATGCTGAGTTGAAGAACTTGGCCTACCCCATTCTCCTTCAGCTGGCAGAACAGGAGCAGCTGGCAGAACAGGAGGAAAGGAAAACCACATTGCTGGACTGAGATCAGGAGGTGAAACCCAGGACAGATCTCAGAAGGCAATAGGGAGCCATGGACTAAACACACCTCATAACAGCGCCACTGCTCTGCTGCTACAATGTGGCCTGGTGAGGTGTCAGAGTCCAGAGCAAAGCCCAGAGTGGGTGCCGAGCCCAACGTGGGTGTTCAGCCTCCATGGCCACCTCCCCTGCCATCCTCTTCTCTCTCTGTGTTCACTGTGCCCAACCCTAGAGTTTAGAGCTCTTTTTTTCCTCCCCTGATTCACTTCTCTTCTTTCACCCCTTTTCCTTTCCCTAGCCAAAAACACCTCTCCACAGGTTAAAAATCTCTGACTCTTCCTCTCCGATTCATTTTTTGTCACCTTCACTTTTTGCTGATCTTTGTCTCCGGGCCATAAAACATTCCCAGGGTGACTGCACTAGGCCAAGAGTAAGCTGAATAATTATGTTGACAAATGGATATTTCCATTCTCTAGCCACTGCCATTAGGCTCTTTGTGGAAAATTGAGTAAATTGGTTCCAGTGATTTTAATTGCCTTGTGTTGGGCTCTTCTGCAGATTGATGAAATCAATGTCTATGGAAATACGGCGCTTCACATCGCCTGCTACAATGGACAGGATGCTGTAGTTAATGAGCTGATTGACTACGGTGCTAACGTGAACCAGCCCAACAACAACGGGTTCACCCCTCTGCATTTTGCTGCTGCCTCCACTCATGGTGCTTTGTGTCTTGAATTGTTAGTAAACAATGGGGCAGACGTGAACATTCAGGTATGACACTCTTACTTAGTTTCTCTGTGTTAACTACATTTGCATTGAGCCTCTGATTGAGCAAAATCAACTGCTGTAAATTATATCATGTTTTTACAACTAACTAAAATTAATTGTAACCTTGAGCATCTTGACTCACACAGCTGTGTTGGTTTGCCAGACATGCTGGACCTGCTGGGAAGCCCTGAGGCTCTAGCCACGTGTTCTCAGAAGCTTAGTGAATGTTGCAGGACAAATACCAAGTCTTGAAGATGTTGAACTGGTTTAGATGCTTAACACTGAGGTGAATGTTGAGCTGATAGGTAGAGCTGCTGAGCATTCAAAGGAAGGCCTAATTAATGATTGTAGACCTGTTTCCAACCCCAGCATGGCCTGTCAAGGAGGTTCTCAATTATCTCCTTAAAGCAAACCCCAGATAGGTGGCTTCAAGATGTAGCATTGACTTGGTCCTAATGTTCATTCCTTTATTCAGCATAAGGACTACCTAGCCCCCTCTATACGCTCCGGGGGGAGTGCTCCAGATGAGGTATGATTTGTGCCCTCAAGGAATTCATAGTAAGAATGAAATCACATGCACTCAGGCAATCATAAGGTGAAGAGAACATGAGAAGTGGAACCATCGAGTAATAAAGCATTGCCAACTATAAGAAGCAAGTATCAACTTGCTTCTTGCTTAGGGATCAAGAATGAGGGCTGGTTTTTGTGGTTTTTGTTTGTTTGTTTTCTGATTTTCTTTTTTTAGTTTTGGCAGGGGCCAGGTTCAAACGCACCACCCTCAGTATATAGGGGGAGCACCCTACTCCTTGAGCCACAGGCACCACCCATGAGGGCTGATTTTTAGCTGTGACTTGAAAGAGTGATATCAGATAAGACAAGGAGGGCCAGGGATAATCTAAGAGGGCATTTCAGACAGAGAGAACAGCATGAGCAAAGGGGCAGGAGTTGTAGGAAAAGCTCTGGGTAAACTTTAGGGAGCTAGTCAATTCTCTGTGATGGCCAACCAAGGGCAGCCTATGCATGCATCATTCATGACCCAGAAGTCACATATTTAGAGCAGTGGTTCTCAACCTTCCTAAACTCGGCCCTTTAATACAGTTCTTGTGGGTCACAACCCACAGGTTGAGAACTGCTGATTTAGAGTGTAGCAGAATATCCTAACATGCTGCAGGAGATCTTTTATTCATCATTAGCTTCCTCCCCAGCACAATGGAAGCCTGAAACAAGGTCCCAGTGCATTCTGTCTCTGATTTTGAAAAATTCTTGTAATTTCAAGAATATCACATCAATCTAATTTAATGACCTTCTCTATTCACTACTAAAAAAATTTTTTTTTTGAGACAGAGTCTTACTTTGTCAGCTTTAGTAGAGTGCCATGGCATCATAGCTCACAGCAACCTCAAACTCTTGGGCTTAACCAATTCTCTTGCCTCAGCCTCCCAAATAGCTGGCACTACAGGCATCTGCCATAACACCTGGCTATTTTTGGAGACGCAGTCTCACTGTAGCTCAGGCTGGTCTCCGATGGTAAGCTCAGGCAATCTAACCACCATGGCCTCCCAGAGTGCTAGGATTACAGGCGTGAGCCACCAGTGCAGCCACCTGGCTGCACTACTAAAAATTTTTAAAAGATTTTTTCTCATAATTTTTAAATGTGGTGAATTTTAAAAGTGGCCACAATTTTCAGAATAACAATTTATTGTGTTGAATATAGTATAAATTATCTGAAAGAAAGGGCCAGAGACAAGCCACAACGTGATATAACCAAGGAAGAGAGTTCCTCAAAGAGTTTGGGCTTCTAGAGGCTGTGAGAGCCACTAATCATTATAGAGGTCACGGGCTCAGACCTGAGCATTAGGACAGTAATCTGGCTGCAGAACACCAGAGGCAGAAAATATAGAAGAAAAAAATTAGATTTATGACTACATAAAAATTAAAAAAACTTATATATAACAAAACAACAATAAAAAACTCAAAACAATTGAAATAAGAATAGCTGAAGAAAAATTTTCTTTAATATATATGATATAGAAAGAGTTTATAATATGCTTTGTGTATAAAGAGCTTATACAAATCAACAAGAAAATGTGTGATAATTATTAGAAAATACAGAGCAGAGTCAGATCACAAGAGAGAGAATATAGAATTTATTAAACCTATGAAAAACTATATAATGTCACTAGTAATTAGAAAAATATAAGCTAATACTAATACAAACACATACATTTGCCCTAAAGATTGGAACATATCAAAAAGACCGATAATACCAAGTTTTGTAAATGAAAAAATTAAGATACAATACATATGATCTTATTTTTAATTTAATTTTAATTTTACTTATTTTTTCATTGTTTGGGATTCATTGAGGGTACAAAGAATTAGGTTATACTATTGCATTTGTTAGATAAAGTCCCTCTGATAATTGTGTCTCACCTCCAAGAGGTGTGCCATACACCATGACCCCCCATCCTGCTGGAGATAGAGTCTCACTTTGTCACCTTTGGTAGAGTGCTGTGACATCATAGCTCACAGCAACCTCAAACTCCTGGGCTTAAGTGATTCTCTTGCCTCAGCCTTCCAAGTAGCTGGGACTACAGGCACTCATAACACCCGGCTATTTTTAGAGATGAGGTCTCACTCTCTGGCTCAGACTGATCTTGAACCTGTGAGCTCAGACAATCCACCCACCTAGGCCTCTCAAGTGCTGGGTTTACAGGTGTGAGCCACCATGCCCAGCCCAAAAGGTTAGGTCTTGAAGTATCCTCAAGCAAAGGATAACAAAGCCAAATTCTTCCTTGTTGCCAATAAATAGAAGTCCTTGTTCTTGATGACAATATGTTGCAATATGTCACTGGGATACTAGGTGGCTCGTGGAAGTTTTAGGAGACAGAGGACACAGCTAGCAACTTTTGTGGTCCTTATACCCAACTTAGTTGCCTTCAGTGATCCCCTGATTGTTTCCTCAGCATTCAGACCCTGCCAGGTTGGGATCTTAAAGCTCACAAGAATCTTTCAGGGGCATGTCTCACAGTGCCTCCTGACTCCAGTTCCCATGGGGTAGGGGAGTCTCTCAGACTGTCCAAGAGTGTAGTTATGATCCTGGTTGGTGGATTAAGATAGCCATGCTTTAGGCCCCTGCTAAGACCTTCTCATGACTTTTCCACAGAACTCCCTGATCACCAAGACTTTCTCAGTATGGCTGCCTCACTAGCCATGAAAAATATAGCAAGTCCAATCCAACTTGCATTCAAATCTGGTTGCTGTATACTGTTTGAATCCACCCACTCTTTCAAGCTTTCCACTTAACACAGTTTCCCCCAACAACTAAAAAGTCTGAAAAGGCTTCCTCCCATCCTGGACCTCTGTGGAGGGCTAACTGATCCTGGTGGTTGTGCTCACTTGCCTAATTTGTTAGCTTTCCAGCTCATTGCCTCCTCTCTGTGCTCCCCAAGCTACAACTCTGGGTAATGTCCTCATGCCAAGTGTGGCTGGGTTTTCTCTTTTTCCCCTAGTTGTTCTAGGAGAGCTCAACTAAAAAATCCTTCTGGTCCATCATCTTGCTTCATCTCTCATTTTTAATTTTAAAAAGTAATTTATCTGTGTATGTGCAAAGAGAAAGAAAAATCTCTGAAGTATTGATTCAAATCTAGCCATGAATATACTAGCTAGATTTGATTCAAACCTCCAGAATCATAATTTTGCCTCTCTCTATTACTATGGAAAGACATAATTATGATTTGGATTTTTAATTTCTCTTTTGTATATTTTTATCTTATGATTGTGATCCAACGGGCATATGTAATCCTTATACTCAGAAGAAAGGAAAAACTATTTTCATTTTGAATAAAAGAAAATCCAGATATAGGTGGACGTAGAGAGAGGATGATTAGAGGATGCCTGGAAGTCAATGAAACTGGTCTAGATAAGAGGGAATGAGGAACAGGGGAGGAGGAAGAGCCAGCTGAAGGAAGAGGCTTTGCAGAGAGAAAATTTGTAAGACTTGCAGAGTTGAATTTGAGAGTAAAGATTAAAATCTGGCAAAGAGGGGTATTATAGCACAGTAATTAAATGTTCAAGTCTGGGGCTAGACTATGTATATTCCAGTCCTAGCCTTGACTTTTGGTAACTTACATAAACATAAACCTCTCCACCTCTCTGATTCTCAGTTTGTTTATTTATAAAATTAGGAGAACAATTGTATCTTTTTCATAGAATATTACTTATTAATATTCATTAGAGGGATGTCAGTTGGAAGACCAGGCTTAGGAGTTAAAACTGATGAGTTTAGTTTTTGAGAAGCTCATTTTGAGCTTTTGGTATTAGCAGTCTGAGAAACCCAACAGTGGAAAATGTGATGCTTTAGCTTGAAGGAAAGATAAAGAAAATAGAAGGAAAATTTTAGGTTGCTTCATTCACATAAAGGTGAAGGTTGAAACTTAGAGAAAAGGATGATCAGTAAAGAAGTGGGGGGAGGACTCTAGGAGCCTTTTACTTGTAGAATCAGGAGGAAGAGCTAGGAAAGGAATGGAAAAAGAAGAATTAGAAAGGACAAAAAGGAAATTAAGGGATTGTAGTGTTTTTCTGAAGGTGGAAAGCAGGCAGAAATGAAAAAGCAGAATAAGAGACTTTCAGAGGTTCAGATCTTGCAAGTGATGCATATCTAAGCTCCCAGAAGGAGGTAGGATGAAAATCTTTGGGGCACTGAAGAGACCAAGGAATGTTACCCAAGATGGGAGAGAGTCTTTGTATAAGGTCGATGTCACAGAGTGTTGTGGTGAGTAGGGAGGAAGCACATAGGTGGCCAAACCATCCATGTCTAGGACTATGGACCTCTGTCTGTCATCTTGGTGTCTGAGGGACATTTGTGAATCCTTCAAAGAAAGGAAAATTATTGAAGTTAAATAAAGTAACACACTTTACCGATATCTACTTACCTAATTCACAAGGTTGCCTGATACTTATCATCACCTCAGTAAATCATGCCACTGATACTCTCAATATACCGATACCAGAGGCTAGAAGGCTGCTTTCTGGGACACCTGACTGCTGCCTCCAGTTAGCTGACATGGGTAGCTCAGGTTGGATAAGGGTGTTGGTTGGTTGACTGTTGTGGTACATTAATCTATGTAGTATTCTCTTCTCTCTTACAAATGAATCTAAAAAGCATAGTTACTTAATTATAATATTTAATTTTTTTCCTGTTGACTACTAATCATAAATAGAATATAAGAAATGCCATTTTAAAAATCTGGGATTTGAGCTTATGTATTATCTAATATGTGTAAATAGGATTTCGAATCAAATCCAGCCTTCTTCCTTGGTCTTCCTTCATCTATTCTGTCTATATCCTCTGATTTCCTAATTCTCTTTGATTCCTTTAGTTATTCCAGATGCACTCTGGATGTACGGATCATGTAACATTTCCGTAGAGCCATCCTGTCTGGCTCTGGAGGTAGCTTTCTAATTAAAGTCGTTATCTCTCTGTACCACATTGCTCCTTGGATTTTGAAAGTGTTTGTAGATCATGAGACTATTTGTATTTGTTTACATTTTCCAAAGGTTGAGGGAAATAGCATATTGAAATGCAGCCAATAACCACCCACTTGTTCACTTTGTTTTCTACTATTCTCATAAGACACCAAATATGATGTCTTCACGATCAGTTACAAGATGGATGGAAAGAGGAGGAGGGACGTGTCTTCTGCACTTATTTTGCTGTCTCTCATTTTGCTTAGATTGACAGTGTCCTTGTCTTTGACTTTGTAGTGTCAGTTTGTGACAAAGTAAGAAGATGTGATACTTTATAAAATAATCCATTTGAAGTTTACTTGTTATTTGCAAACAGGAAGAGCATGATAAAGTATAAAATAATTTTTCCTCTCCATTACAGACCACATTGTAATTTCTGCAGCATCTCAAGGCTCTTTTTGCAAACATTCAGAGTAAGCATTAAAGAAGGCACTATACCCATAGTCTTGCTGGAAATGACTTAGGAAGGTGGACTCAGAAATTATCATTGCCACGTCACCTACTTCCTGGTCACATTTAGCCTATGTGTGGTCTCAATTCTTTTCTTTCCATGGGCCTTTGGATCATTTAGCCCTAAGAGACTGGAGCTGAAGTCCATCATATCTGCTGAAATGGGCCAATTCCCTTTGTTATACATACCAGGACCAAATTCAAGAATGGATTGCATTGCAGAAGTTGAAGGCAAAAACTGGAATAGGCAAGAGTAGGTAGTAACAGGGATATAGGGACATGGCACTTGGGACTTTGGAGAGCAAGCAAGGCATGTGAGCCAACCATGTACCATCTCTGGCCTTTACGATGATAAAACAAACAAAAAAACAAACAAACAAAAAACCCACAAAGAAACAGAACAAAATGGGCTACATATGGCTTTGTGAAGCCCATGTTTAGATGGCTCTTCCACTGTATCAGGAACTTTATTGGGTTTCTCACTATATTTGACTCCTCCTCACCCCGGGCTGGCCCTAGTGTTACCCCATGCAGGCATTATTACCCTCCAACAATAGTCATGCGGCTCCAGCAGGCACCATGCCACAGAGAACTTAATGCTCTCAAGATCCTGGGGAGTAACAGCATCTGTAAGTTAGGGGAGGTTTGTGGGATTTTGGAAGATGAGGAAATAAGGCATTAAGAACAGAAGAAAAGAATGAATAGATTTCTGAGGGGAATGGTGGTCAAGAAAATTGAAACATTTAGTTCAAGGATTAATCTTCTTTGGGTAATACTGAGTTCTTCCCTGAAAGAATACTAATATATGTTATAAAAATATTCTTAATCCTCATTAGATTTCCTTTATGCCTTAGGGCTTGACTTTCCCTAAATCAGTCGAAAGGCTTCTTGCTTGATTAAACGAGTTCTCAAAATAAGTTTTTCAAAGCTCCAAATCTGACAGGGAAGTGGAAGGAGACAAGAAATTAAGAAAAATTTTTATGAAATCTTTGAATAAATGAAAGAATTAAACCTATCTTCTGCTTTGAGAATGTGAGGAATGCTTTATCTTCGTCTGAAGTTCTATGAACAGCAGCAGCAGCCAGCCCCCCTCAGTGACAAATTTCTCAGATAGATATCAGAACTCAATAGGATTCCCTAGTCTCAACCTGAATATTCTGAGTTCTAACTTTTAAAGGCTAAATGAAAAGTATTATCTTTTTGAGCTTTATTGGTTTTCAGTGGCCTCTTGAGATGAATTCCCTCTGCACCCATACCATTTGAACAAAGCTGCCCCTTAATGCATGACTCTCTTAATGCTTTCTTTTTTCTCTGTGAGAAAAAAAATATATATCAGCTATGGCCTAGATTCAATAGTCAATGAACCCAGGCAAAAATTTGCAAGGATAGATCTGAAGCAAACATTAGCACTGACCAAATAGTTGTCCTTTGCATTTTATTTCCTCACTTTGGTCATCTCTGTTATTTGTCCCTTTAGCAGGGACAGAGAAAAAAGGTGATGTGTTTGCTGTCTCTTGCAAACTTCACACTGTAGAAACGGGTTGCTTGTGCTTTGGCTCTCTGCTGGTAGTTTAGATAACTACCAACAAATTGGTAGAGGTTTTATCTTTAAGCTCTTTTGCAGACATTGAAAAGTGCTTTGCTAAATATTTCTGATGACATTTTCCAAACAGTGAAGAAAGTATAGCTTTATATATATTTAATTAAATAATAATTACTTATGGTTTTATATTAAATTTAAGAGAAAATATTGGAGCAAAATTTAAAGAAATAGCACCACCTAGGGACAAGTTAATGCCAGCTCTGCGATTTCTGCCTTCTGTCTCCTTAACAGTCTTGGATTGCCATCAATTTTAATTGTAAGGGTATGTTTTAAATCCTTATTCCAAAGTAGTTCCCAGACTTTTCAGTCTTTAGACCCGTTTGCAGTTCTGACAGTCAAGACAAAGCTCTGGGATCAGATAACTTTCAGGAGCTCTCTTTGCTGTGTGCCTTGTGGTCAGAGATAGTACTATATTTACTCTCATGATTGCATCTCTTTTTTCTCTAAAAATATTATTTTCAAGAAAGCTTCAAGCTTACTTTCATCCTCCTTCCTCAATCTTTTCTAATTGGGGTAATAACACGAATATGGAGAAACTATTCTATCATTTTTTTTTAACCCCATCTATCTGAGAACCTTTAACTATGATGATTTTTTTCAGTCAAACTGAAGATAACGCTTAGCTTAACATTTTTCCTCAGCACAGACTGTCAGCAAGAGTTACAGTCTATGTGTAACTTCTTTCCTTCTTTCTAAGGAATAGAATTACAGGATATAATAAAATTCTTGCATTGAAATCTTATAGTTTTATAGTTATTTTGGCCCATAGTTTGAAGCAATGGTTCTTAAACTTTAGTGTGCTGTGTGTGTTAGAAACAGGGACCCTCTTACACTAATTCCAATTCAGTGAGTTTGGGTCAGGGCACAGAAATCATATTTTTTACAAAAACCTTGGGAGATTAAGATGTAGGCAGTCCATAGTCCACTTTAAGAAATAAAATGATTAAGAAGTAAAATGATTGTTTTCCAAAGTAGAATTTTTAAATCAAAAAGTCATTTAAAAGCACAGATATTTATATGTCACCACAAAATGAACATGCATGTTTGAAACCTCATATTTAACCTCAAACTTAGAGAAATGTTTCTCCTGGAACTTAGAAAAAATAATAGAGGTACAATATTTGAATGAAAACATTTTCTCTCTATTGTGAATACTTTTGATATAAAATAACAGTGATATTTTCTTTTTGACCTATTTTCAGAGGGAATTCTGTAAACTTGACTATTCCTTGATTAAATGCAGAACTTCAGTATTTGGCATAATGGTGACTGGTACATAGATTCTGCATATATTTTATGTTTTGGTATAAACTATGTCGAGAAGTTCCATAATTTACATCATGAATGAAAAGCGATGCAGAATCCAGCACACATTTCCAGCTGATCATTCAAATGGCAATTTGCTAATGAGTTGCATGCCTTAATCTTGTGGTTCTAATCAGTTAAGTGAACCAAGAGATTCTCTTTTGGAACATTCAAAGTCACTTCTTTTTTAATGGAACTAGAATGTAGGGAATGGTGGAGGGTGCCAGATTACTTCTGAGAGTTGCAGCAATTTACTGCAGTTTAATCAACTTCAGGTCAAACAAGACCATGCAAGTTAACACATCATTTGCATTTTTTTCGGGTACCCTAGTCAAAAGTTGAAAAATTAAAACACCTGGAAGGAAACCTTTGTCAGTAGATCACAAGAGAAAAACACTTAACATTTGGGGTGACTGTTTCTTTAAGCTTCTTTGTAATGTGATGTTATGCAGTAGTAACTCAAGATGTTGTACACATTTTATCTTTTTCTTTCAAAATTATCTTTGTCTCTGTGATATATGATCATACTTTTTAAAAACGTTTGAATTAATATTTTCTGGGCACTGTCAGCTGTGTCCACAGGGATGTTTCAGACTGATGTCCTGGCTCCAGAATACCTCCATTGTTTTGCTCTCTCTCTTTTTTTTTAGAGTAAAGATGGCAAAAGTCCACTGCACATGACAGCTGTCCATGGAAGGTTCACACGGTCACAAACCCTCATTCAGAATGGTAAGAAAGATGCTTTAGTAGTGTCTATTTGAATAGTTTTTGGGTCTGAGTTTGGCTGTCAGTCATCTGAACATGAATCTGGATGGTCTGTTTTAGAGTTTGGAGAAGCACGGATTTACATAACACTTGGATGTACTTTGCTAAAAGCTCTTCATCAGACATATCATTAGCACCCAGCTTAGTAGGAAAAACACAAAACCAAAAAAAAGATTGAAACTAATATAACCTCTATGGAAAAAAGTATGGAGAATTCTCAAAGAACTAAGAGGACCTTCTATCTGATCTTTCAATCCCATTACTAGGTATCTACCTTGAAGAAAAAAAATCATTGTACCACAAGGACATTTGCACTAGAATGATGTTTATTGCAGCTCAATTCACAATTGCCAAGATGTGGAAGCAACTCAAGTGCCCATTAGTCCATGAGTGGATTAACAAACTGTGATAAATGTATACCATAGGGTACTACTCAGCCATAGGAAAAGATGGAGACTTTATATCTTTTATATTACCTGGATGGAGCTGAAACACTTTTTTTAGTCAAGTATCACAAGAATGGAAAGACAAGCAGCCGATATATTCAATACTAATATGAAACCAATATGTAAACAAAACACACCCACTTGGAAGAAAAACACAAGTATAGTCTAACGAGGGGGAGGAGAGAAGGTGATTGGCAGGTTCTCCCCCAATGTGCACAAGGTAAGGGTTTTCAGCATGTCCCCTGGGTGAAGGGCTCCATTAAAACTTGACCTTTACCTTAGAAATGAAAACAGTGTAACCTAAACATTTGTACTCTCATATTAATCTGAAATAACAAAACCTCCCATAAAACCACAGATTGACAATCAATTCCCAGGCAGGCTAAGAACATGTCAACTTTGAAGCTGGAAGTTATATACAGTAGAACAGACATCCTCAAACTACGGCTCATGGGCCACATGTGGCCTGTTGAGGACATTTATCCGGCCCACTGGGTGTTTTTGCCACTGCTGCCTGTCCTGCTTAGCAGCCAACTCGACCCGGGGCCCTCAGTCTGGCCCTCCAACGGTCTGAGTGACAGTGAACTGGCCCCCTGTTTAAAAAGTTTGAGGACCCCTGCAGTAGAAGCTCAGTATTTGACCACCTCCCTACATCGAACACCTCCTTAAGTTGACCTGATTTTCACAAACCAGACCTGCACCACATGTGTATATCAATACAATAAGCCTAGTTTCATATGTTGACAACCTCTTTAAGATGACCTGATTTTCATAAACTGCACATGTGCCACATGTACATATCAGTCCTGTAGGCCTAGTTCCCCTAGTTTCTTATGTTGACCAGTTTATTATAATCCCTTGGGTGGTTAATTTACAGAGGTTCTACTGTACTTGAACCTCTGAACAAGATCCGGTACCGTTCATACTGAAATTAATAAAGATAAATAGCAAATGTTTTTTAGCAACAAATCTGAATTTTTAAAAAATATTTTTAGAATTGACCATAGTTTCTCAGGTTGGGCAAGAAATTAATTAAAGTACTTGGGCAAAGGCAAGAAAAAATGAGATGACTCAGAGGAAAAGTAGCTAAGTACATGACTTAAAGGATCATAAAATCATAGACTTGATAGAGACCTTGGAAAGTCATGTAATGTAGTACTTTTCCAGGCCCATAACAAAGGTATGCTTGAACCATTGGATTGTCTCTGAAGCCAAAGTACTAGGGAGTATCACTTCACAGCATGGTTTGTGCTACTTAGAGGGGGTCATGGCTGGTGTCTGTGAGTGGGTTGACTTTGAGAACACAACTTCTATTATCTTAGCAAATCTTAGAGGTGATTTTAAAAATATAAAAGGCTTAGTCCAGATCTTAAGCTGACATTCCAGGTCAATCCAGCAGTTCCTCAACTACTTTTAGTTGACCCATATTTCTACTTCTGAAAATTCTGATAGTATTACTTTCCCTTGGGCCTAAATTTTTGTCATCTGTAAGAATTTTGGATGACATACGCTGGAATTGTCAGTGGCACTGAGTTGTGTCATAGGCACTCATGTTACAAAATGAAGTTATTTGACATTCAGATGGAAGGCCAGCCAGTGAAATTGTGCTTAGGAAGCAAAATGTCTACAGCAAAATGGACAATTTATAAGCCTGTCAGTTAAGTTGCAGGGGAAAAGAAATCCTAACAAATGTCCAGCAAGCCAAAGAAGATGAAATGGAAATTAACTGCACAGCATCCATTATTTCTAATTTGAAATCTATGCCCTGCTTTTGACAGTCAATCTATTGAAAAGGTCACTTTGTTTTATTTTTCTGGATATAAATAAAGGGGGGGGTAGTGACCCCAGTTTCTCTCTTTTGAGCACTTTTCTTATCTCACTGTACTGCTTAGCTGTTTTTCAAAAACAGTGCCCACCTCCTTGAAATCAAACAAAACATTCAAATCAAATAAAACTTTTGGAAAAAAAAACATTAAAAAATGTAATATAAACTTAATCAGTGGGCCTTAGCTCTGTGGCATAACGACTTTTGTTCCCTTTTAGAGCAATCCCAAGCACAGGGACAGGGCTGGAGAGTGCAAGTTTTCACCTTGTCCACACTGGTGACAAGGTTTATCCCTGCGTGCCACACTGTACTGTCTCCGTACTGGGCACCAAGACCATGGCCGTCTCTCCTTTGTCCTGCTAGTAAGCTTACAACAATCCCAGGGGTTGCTGGCTGGTTTGACCTCTCTCAGAGCCATCCTGTAGGCCAAAAGACTTCCGTGCTCTCTTTGGGCATTCTTTTTAGGCTTTTGAATTGGGGCAAGACCTGAAAGAGACCCCATCTCTTACCCTCAGTGATCATCCAGGGGTCTTTGCTGCAGAGCCTGTCTCATTCTTGCCTCACCTGGCATCTTGCTTTAGCCACACCCCCATATAAATCTTTTCAACTACCATATGAGAAAGAGGTAATAATATTGTCTCCATTTTAAAGATGGGGAAGCTGAGGCAGAGAGGGTCATCACTTGTGTCAGGATATGTGGCTGGTATGTTAAGGAAGAGGGATCAGAACATAGGCAGTCTGACATTGAACTGAACGCTTATGAATAAATAACATGATTTCTGGGAAACCAATGTTATTAAATTTGTTTTTTTAACAATTTGAAATCTGTAAGTAACTCCAGAATTTTCTTATATTTGAAATAAAGTTGTCCCTGTAAAAGGATGATTTGACATTCTCTTCTCTCAGTGAACGCTTCTTAGCAGTCCTATCACATATGAGAGCTGTGAATTCTTCCATCTGACATTTTTTTAAATGCCCTTGGGGAGAAGAATCGGAAGTTCTTTTCTTTCTTCCTGTTTGTTGGCTTCCTTCTGTAAAAATCCTGGGTTGCTGCCAGGACTGTCTCTGTCCAGAGGCTCATGCTCCCGGGGCCTGGGGTCAAGTCCTCTTGCAGGGGGCACAACTCAGCGTCATCCCCTCTGTGCTCTAGGAGCTGGGATGCTGGAACCACATGAAACATCATCCAGCTCCTAGGACCAAGGGAACATGCTCCTGAGGGATGTTCTTTGTATTTATGTGTTTGTTTTGTTAAATTGCTTTGGTGTTTGGACTTTGTATAGTATTTCTCTGCCTTGCTGACCACTCTCCAGGCAGGGTTACTAGTTCTTCACAGTTGCTTTGGTAAGACAATCATTTAAAAAATATTGTCTTCCTTCCTATTTAGTAAACAGAGAGTGCTGTCAGATCATGTTTTTGTTGTCTGACGCCGCACTGTCACAGTGAGAAGGGGAAGGGAACTAAAAGAAGACACAACCTGGTATCAGGAAGCTTGTGATCCAGCCATTCGCTCCAGGCAGTTACTTAGATGCTGTCCAGCAGGTTTCAAAAGTTCTAGGTTAGGATGACTCATTGTGAGATTTGGACCCTTGTGGCTCACAATCTTTCTGTGGCAACTTAATAATATGGCCATTCTTGTTTGTACAATAAAAAACTAAGTTTAGATGAATGCTTAGATAATGCTGATGAATTATTATCCCTTCTGACATACCCTGCATACTTCTAAACTCACAAATGTTTATTTTCCTCACTTAGTATCAATAATCAATTATCAACAGTTTGGCAATCTTCAAATTAATAGTTAAGATTTTTTTAAATTTCAATTTCTATTTTTGTTTCTTTAGAGACAGGGTCTCATTCTGTTGCCCAGTGTAGAATGCAGTGGCATAATTATAGCTCATTGCAGCCTCAAATTCTAGGGCTCAGATGATCTTCCTGTCTCACCTTGTAAAGTAGCTGAGATTACAGGTATATACCACCACATCTGGCTAAGTTTTTAAAGTTTTTTAGAGACAGGGTCTTGCTATGTTGCCCAGGCTGGTCTCAAACTCTTGGCTTCAACTGATCCTTCTGCCTCAGCCTCCCCAAGTGATAGAATTATAGGTGTGGGCTACTATCCTTGGCTAAGATATTTAATTTGAATTCTAAGAAGTTTGAAATTTTTTCAAGTGGAAATAGAAAGGTTTGTAGAGTGATTATAAAATAGAAATTCACTCATAGTAGGGCCTACTTTAATAAAAAACATATTTCTAAATAGCAAATACACAGTCTCTTTTAGTTTTCTATTGAGTATTATGATATTTTCCTAAAAATATTTTAAATGATAATAAAAGCATATATAGACAATACATAATTATCTGTATTTTTACAGTTTTTTTTTTTTTTTTTTTTTTTTAAGACAGAGCCTCACTCTGTTGCTCAGGCTAGAGTGTAGTGGCATCAGACTAGCTCACACCAATCTCAAACTCCTAGATTCAAGCAATCCTCCTGTATCAACCTCCCGAGTAGGTGGGACTACTAGTATGTGCCATAATGCCTGGCTAATTTTTCTATTTTTAGTACAGACAGGCCTCAGTCTTTCTCAACCTGGTCTTAAACTTCTGAACTCAAGCAATCCTCCCACCTTGGCCTCCCAGAGTGCTAGAATTATAAACCTGAGCCGTCCCATTTGGCCTATAGTTTTAAGTTGACTCATA